AAGTACACGTATAATTTGATTCTATTCAAAAATGCTGATGTTGTAACATGAAGTTGATTTCTTAGAGCAATAAAAAATATAATCATATGTAAGCACTTTGAATAAGTTTTACTGATACCATGCAAAGAAATACAAAATTTCACACCACTGAGTCGTTTAAACTATATTTATTTATAGCTTTAGATAGAACTAATGAATTGATCATAACACTCAAATCAGATCACAATTACATGGTTTATTTGTAAATACGTTCTTGTCTAGCTGAGAATATAGTGTAAAAAAGAATCATCATCATACTCAATAAGAATGCTAGATAAACTGTTAATGCTAATATGAAAGAAACAATGAGAATGGGTAGATTTATAAACGCACCTCAGCAAAAAAAAACGAACATTGACGAAAACAATTGTACTTACCCTGAGGTGCTGTTTGCAATCTCTCTAAAAAGCTATTGACAGGAGTGTTAGATAGTAGAAAAATCCACACAAAACTAGTTAAATATACTTGAAATTGATTGTTCTTAGTCCAATGATACAGATACATATTATTCAGCAATAACGATATCTTATATTCGGTCTTTTTATGGGGCTCTAATTAAAGAGCGCCCCAGTGTGTTGTTTTTTGATTTTATTATTGTCTTTGATAAAACATAAAGTGTGATGATATAATGGTTATTATTGCGTAAGCCCTAGAGATAAATATAATCTGTATTCAAAAACAATGTACACCTATGAATGTAAAAATAGCCCACCTCTCTATTCATATTCATTCAATTCATATGGGTGTGTACACATATTATGCAGTTCAGGTATGTACTTATGCTGCTAGAAAAGTGTGCATATATACATACGTATATCTACCTTTCTATTATATGTATATATTTGTCAGTTAACAAATATTAGAACTTATGCTTTTACATCAGCCTACAAAAATTACGATTTACTTTTTTATGTTTTTTTTAATGGTTCCTTCTTAGTGTTTCTTATTCGATATTTTCGACCTGCCTTTCATACAGCAATATTTAGTGTAGCACATACACCTCTCCTACAAAAATATGTACACAAAATTCGGACTAGAATGAAAATTTTTTTTGCTTTGTTGTATTCAGCATTATATATCCAGGTATCATAAAATAAGTAAAAAGAAATAAGGTAGGTGGGATGGGGGATAAGTGCCAACATTTGGCCCGGATAATAGCTAATATTCAATCATTGAATAAATAAAGCATGCATCGAGGCACATAATGCAATAGTGTTTGTGTGTGGTTATCTTTAATAAAGTATATCTTTGTTTTGAAAAATCTGTCCAAAATACAGAACGATCAACAACGCCAATTCATTCTCTTTTCTATGTCGTCGATTTACCTTAGAACTCAGTATAAATAACATATAATTCAATAATGGAAAATACTGAATCTTTCTTTAAACTATACAACATTATTCATTGATGAGCCAGGTTCACTACATTGTAAAGAAAGAAACTTAAAGTTTTTTGGTTCCCAAACATAGCTTTTTGAAATGTCAGTGGGAAATATTGATTCAGAAATTTATAAATGCTAATATATATATAATATAATCTTATTTTCCGCGACAAATGACATGGTTATGTGTGCGTAGGTGTGCAATAAAATATAATTGTATTACTTGTCAAACAACCGGTCCTGATCAGTATAAAGGCTGAATCACTTTATCAGGAAGCTTAAAGGTTAAAATGGTGCTATTCTAGTCTATAAAGCATGCACCAAAGATATACATAATTAGGGAAGAGATAATTCAACATATTTTTAATTTAGTAATGTACCTTGTTTATATAATTTGGCTTCCAAATACAATGAGAGTTTAGTCATTAGCATGGTAAATGAAGTTACGAAGTAAATGACAATGTAAGCGGATAGGAATAAAATAGACATTAGGAGATCGATAATAACGATTACTGTGTCAACATCATACTGCGAGATCACAATTTCTGGACGAACCAATTAGTTAAGATAGTAAGTCTTGGATTTTGGCTCGAAATCCACTTATCCATATGGCTAAATAGAATAGTTCGTGATGGCAACCCTAACGTCCAACCGTAAATCCTAATTCCTTACATTAAATTATAATCCTCATTTCATTCTGTTGGTTAGGTAAATTTTCTCAACGTCACTTTAGCGTTGCTCAAACAACATCCGTAAATTATAGTCTTGCTTACCATACTATATACATATATTTCGGGGATACTATAGGAAAACAAAACAAGGAAAATCTATGAAAAAACTAATAGATACTTACACGTGAAAACAAATTATTGTTGATTAATAAAGTAACAATTTGGCAACTGGCTTCGGAAATATATACATATTTATCCGTTATGTCTATCCTCATCGAATATCACAATTTTATGTCCAAAGATTCACTAAAGAAAAATAATAACCTTTATTTATTATCTCAGTGTACTAATTATGACAGAAAATTTGTAAGTTAGATAATTTACGATTTTCAGTAAGACAATGTATATCTGTTATCTAGTTATCAAGCGTGTGTATGAAATACTACGTGAAGACAAAGTTTAGGTGAAATATTTGGATACTGAGTTTACTGTAATTTAGAAAAGTGAGTTAATAACAAGGATGAGTATTTGGGTGTATCTTTATAATCCATCTTATCGATGATAAGATACTATATGGATATTAGGAGATCTGTTAGAGAAGAGATTTGAACCCGTTTTAAACACGGTCAACAGATAGCTCCAAGTAGAATATTTCGTCAAGTGACCACAATTTTATCTGAAAACACCAAAATTTCAAAAATGTCACTTCTGAAAGCTCCAACTGAAAATGTAGTAGATTCTAAAATATAGCATGTTGATCGAATTTTTTTCAAAGGGTCTTTAGCATTTTTTTATATGGAGAGTAGTTACTTAATTGATCGAATTGTGAATGACGCATGAAATTCATTTTCCCTAATCATCTGAGACATGTAATTACATTTTTAGGAGTCAGCCAGTCAAATTAAATTATACAAATCCGACTGTTAATCTATATGCAAATAAATAATATAAAAGTGGTGTATTCACATACTATTGCGATTTATTTCCGTCTTCAAATAAATCCATGTCAGTACTGTTTGTGTTTTAACTAAGCTTCGTTAGAATCAGGGTTTTAAGTACTAAGTGCAAGTCAGCACTCAGAGGACACTTACATACATAACAATTCTTAATTTCCTTTATATAAAAACCTCATTGTGACTTATATAACATAAAAGGAGAAAAAATGTGTCTGCTTTCGAAAGTGATCTATAAAACCCGTTGTCTGGAAATTAATAGTCAAACTGTGATATAATAGACAGTCTTAAAGTAAAAATTTGGGTCATTCACTATGTAAGATTAATTCTTTAATAAAATCTCCATCAGCTCATCAAACACTTGTCACATAGAGAAGGCATTTGATATTGCTAGGGAAATTACCAAATGTGTTTTTACGATAAAACAGTATTTAACTAATCTCTGACAATAAAAGTACATGAAAACCAGTTGCCTTTAGAACGAACTGTAGATAAGGATGCCATATGAAGCGACTGAACTGTTTCATTTATTACATCTTTGAGAAAGTTGTCTTTGCAAAGTTTGCGCTTATCAATTATATGTATGTATGTTCGTAAATAGTATCTAATCCTTTACGTGAACATTCTGGACAAGTTTTTTACAATATTTAGTAATCCAGACACTACTAACAAACCGTTTGATAGACAATATGAAATCAAGATTCAAATATAGCATGAAATTTGAAGGTAGAAGTCGATAAATTATTGACCAAAAGAAATAAATATACATCACAGTGTTACTGATAAATCCTATTTAATCTAATTTCGAATAGATAATTTAGTTTTCCAGTTACCCGTTGATGTGCTGCACTACACTTTTTATATATGTGCTTAAGAAAAGACAATAAAAATATTTGCAAAATACAACTGGATCCACTTTTTACTTAAATTTATGGAGGGAATCAGTTGCACGATGATTTTTATGTACCGAAAGTAGCAATATAGCTAGATGCATTAGGGTTAACTGACGATATGCTCACTTGATACCTTCTATGATTCACCACATAAATTTTAAGCAACTCAGTATTTCACATTGTAATAGATCAGTACTAAAGTTCAAAACTGCAATTTCAAACAAATATTCTGCATATGACATTACTACTTATATGAGACATGGATGTATGCACTTCAATATTTGCAAACAATTAGAATAGCTACTGATGGAAAGTCAACATCATCAGATGCTTCAACCTAATTGTCTGGTACAGTATTATTATTGTCAAAATGCATAGAAGTATTGGATGAATAAAAATGGATAACGGAAACAGTAATGACTAACTCATGTTATCTATTTATGGATACAATGTATGTATGTCGATTAGCTTTGATAGCTTGATGGATGATTAAAAGAAAATTATGTTCAAATTGCATGCTACCTACTACGATTTAAGTAATACAGATGATAACGCAAAACTTTCGAAAGTCACGCTCACCAACAGAACTGATCAGCTTACGACTTTAATGATAAACCATGAGCAAGAGAAATCGATACAAGAAAACCGAAAGTAGTTATAATCACTTACACTATTATATCTGTGACAAATTTGAACATGAGTAGTGACAATGGGGATCGTCAGTATCATATCACATGAGATGATACTCTATAAGTCCTCATACGAATGTGAATCAACTTAAACTTGAAAAACGGTATGGCATCAGTTGAGACAAACGTCATCCAACCTTCATGAAAAATAGAAACCGTGGAATACTGGCATGTCTGAACTCAGTTGTTGACGGTAATTGCCAGGAAACTTGAACATAAGCTTTTAACTAGCTGGAACTTGCAGCACATCACACTTGAAATTTGGAGGAAATTGATCCCCAAAACGAAGTTCGAACGTGAGTCATCCAGTGCCATTGTCAAATGCGTTATTATTAAGCCATTTGAACCGCGACTAACACGCAGGATTTAGATTGTTACAATGAATGACCGCTGAGTAGTAACCAATACCATGCTCTTCTAGAACTTAGTGACGATCGAATTCTGTCGATCTGGGCAAAATGAAGTAAATAAGCATAGTTAATGGTGTTCGGGAGGTTACTATTTCTCGGTCGACCATATAACAGAAAGATTCTTCTTCCTGATGTACCTGAAAAAGAAACTGGATTAACAGCGATCTCAGTAATCTGGTACGGAGCTGAAACTTAGAGGACAACTGCAACCATCATCGAAACAGTACAAGTATTTATAAACAATTGTCTACACAGAGTAACCAAGATCCGTTGACCGGATACCATCAGCAACAACCTAATGTGACAGAGAACAAACCAACTTCCATCTGGAAGATAAATTAAGGAAAGATGTCGAAGGTGGATAGGACATACATTGCGGAAACCATTAAACTGCATCACGAAGCAAGTCCTAACTAGGCATCATGAAGGGAAAAGAAAAGGGGGAATACCAAGGGACACAGCGTTGGGAATGGGAGGTACATCAAAAGAATGAATAGCCATTTTAAACAACTGGCGGGGACGGCCCAGAACAGAGATGGTTGGAGAATTCTGGTGTGGGAGCGCGGTTTCAGAGTCCGAATGACAACTTCCTGGGGTGAGCCACAAATTAATTTTCAGTCTTTGATGTGTTAAATCCGCACTTTAACGGGTTTACCCCAGCAATGGAAATTCATGGGGTGAGGTGTGTTATCTTTAAGACCGATCTTCTCTAGCCCCTTCGCTTTATTCTAAGAATGCAGATAATGGCTGTCTGGGGAAACACCCCGCTGTTGTTTTACTTTAGCACCATCGGCAATACGACTACGCTCTCGAACTTAGGGTTGTTGCTTTTAGTACTATCAATTCCTAACAAGCCTTTCTGACATGATAGTACCTAAAGGAACAAGGGTTTTGATGTATCAGAGCAAAGACTGGAAAAATAGTAACTTCCGTAACTATTTTATGGGTCAATATTGTATACACTCCTATCGAGTAATCACTGTATAACTGGAATACCCCTTCTAGCTTATGTTTAATTTTTTCTGTTAACTCACTAACCGTTATTGTACAGCTAATATTCTTAATTTATTTTATGGTGTAATGTGGTCCAATACATCTGTGTATAAACCCACATGTGCTTGAAATAAGTAATGGTAAAAGCCTAGTTAATGACTTCTCTTCGGACTCAAGGCGAAGTACAGAGAAAAGCTTGCAGATAAGTGGACCAATAGGATTGTAGCTTACGTGAACTAAACGTTAGCTGTGCATGTCATAACGTATGCTTCGTCAAGTCTACAACGCTAGGCTATGGACGGAATATAAATAAAAATAATATATTTGTAATATCCCAATGAGTAGAAAATCAGATGTTTCTGATTCCCAGAAGAAGTAGCTCACACTGAGCCACGAAACGCCAGAAAGATCTAATTTTCTACTCATTTGGATATTACAAATATATTATTTTTATTTATAGCAATCTATCCAACGCTCATTTTATTTGAAATTATTAAGTCAAACCTTAGTAATGATACTTATGGACGGAATAGTTGACGCGAAATATAAAAAAACTATTATCGGGTTCCTGGTTGATGAATTTAGCATGTGATATTGTATAGAATCTCAAGATGAAATGCTTCACCCAACATAGCTCTCTTGAGTCACCACAGCACACAAGCCCGACCACTTAGTGAAGGGATTAGCTACGATCAGGTAGTTGTAAATACTTAAAAACCAATCATTTTCGTTACTCTCTCACTAATTTTATTTATAAACATGTGAAGGACTTATTCTACTCAAAAATTAGGCATAATCTCGGATAATATACACTATTGACTAGTAAATACAACACAAGATGGAACGTAATTCGCTATATATCAGGAGATTAAAAATCATCATGCGCAAAGCACTACATTGGGCTTAGGAAACATAGACGCGAGAAATTTACCAATCAACTCCACATGTGCACACGGTGCGCGTAAGTAACTGAAATGTAACACCTCATGAACTAGTATAGGTGGTTCTCCTTGCACAGTTCAACGACAAAAACCCGTACTTAGCAGATTAGATTATTTATTTAACCGTCGGGTAGTAGACATGAATTAGATATATCTGTTAAGTTTTGGGTAGTCAGGGCATATTGTTAGCCCCTAACCAACAAATGTTGTTCAGAGAAAGTTCACGGACATATGGGTAGTTAATGAGTTGTTCTTCATAGTTAATTATCATTCAATAAAGCAAACACTATCATTATTGAATAACCCCTAATTTTAGAAGACAGTGTTATGTCCCGATAAGAATAATGAATGGTAAATTTTGAGATCCATTTATGGACCAATACTATGCGTATATTTTTATCGTATAATTGTTAAATAATTAAACTATACATATTCATGTCCTTCCTATTATGAGCTCTATTTTGACCTATGAACTAATATTAAACGATTCACCATTCTTGAATTATGCCCTGTCTATCAATTACTATCTCCTACATTCACAGCCACATTTGGCTAGTTCTTGTACAAATGTTGTTTCATATTTTATGGTACAATGTAGTCCGTCTGGTTGGTATATAGACCCAGTATGGTTGAAATAAATGATTCATACCGCAGAGGCTAAGATTGGTGTTTTGGACTTAACTGGCTGGGATAGGAAGGAAACAGGACCGATAAGTATTCTAGACTGCTCGCATGGGTTTTATGAATCATTGGTCCGGTCGATAATTCATTGCTCTCTAATTAGCGTTATCATCGCGTTATACATTAACAGGGCATATGGGTCACAAGTTATGACAGACAGAAAGTATATCGAAATGACTGTTTATTACGTACGGTAACGTGGATAACATAATCGTAATTCACCAAATGCACGAATGAAGAGTGAAGCTTAACTATAAGCCAGGATTATAAGTGCGATATAGAATACGGAACATACAAATATATCCAAAACAATCTGTTAAATCTCATGTTTAAGGATTGAAATATATTTACAAGTGATCGTAATATTACGAGGGTTATTTAAGCGACCCATTTCATACACCGCGTATCTGAATGTATTTCATAACACTTCCTGCTGCAGTATGGTAGACCACAAACTATACAGTTATATAGACCTTGAAAACCACAGACATTACAAAACTTCCTCCTGGGTAGCCTGCTCGGAGGAACGGCAGCCGTAAAATAGCACGCACCAGTAGTTCCTCCTTTCGTTGCTTGATATTCTTCATCCAGTAAAATCTCAAACGTTTTCCTACAGCGTGCACGAATATTCGATATGCGTTTCTTTTTTCGGCGCTTATTGTTGGCTGAAATATCTTCATCCTAAAACGAAAAGTGGTAAACTAATGCTAAAGAACTATCCAAACCTCATCTCCAAATTGTGGTCTCTTCGTTCCCTTCACATCTGAGTGGGGTTCTTCAATGTGATTATCTTGTTCCAACAAGCTAAGAGTTTTTCTCTGTCTCCTCTCTTTAGCTGCATCATCTAAAGGACGTCTAGTAGCCTCACGCAAAAGTTCGCGTTTTTCCATATCATAAGATGCACTTATTTCATTTTTGCACATTAAAGGATATAAAAAATTAAAAAAAGGTTAATATTCTAAAGCTACACTTGAGATATATACTGAATATAATTGGGACTTGGGTATTGGGAGAAAGGTATAGAGAATAATAGCTGTTATGGAAAAAGTTCGATTCTCTGAAACACAGTACGGATTAAACAGTAAATCCTAAACGGAAAGTATGCGGGACGTGACTCAGAAAATATATATATCTGTATAAAAGACTATTGACTGATAACACTACTTAGATGCCCAAACTTCGTGGAGTCCGAAACAATGGCTCATAATTGAAAGTAAGAATGCTTAAACCAATTAGAGAATACAACAGTTTATATTCTGCTATACTGAGAGAAGCAGCTTCAATCTTGGCAATACCGCTTAGTGTTATGTTCTCACATTCGCTAAGTCGAGGCACATCACCGAAAATTTGTAAGTTGGCTCACATCACACCAATTTTCGAAGTTCGCAGCGAACCTTCAAGCTACCGATCGGCAGCACTTCTCTCTATACCCTCAAAAATTATGGAGTCCTTGATATGCGACGGCATACACGACTACTCATTATCCATAAACTTATTTTCACCCCCCAACAGCACGGTTTCGGAAAAGGTCACACTTGTATAGCCAACCTGTTGACTGTGGTAGAGAGATGGACAACCATCCTTGATCGCAAAGGGAAGGTTAATGTCATATGCCATGACTTCTCAAAAGCTTTTGATAGGGCCAACCACATATGTGTTATCAATAAGCTCAAACGACTAGGTATCAAATCACCTTTAATTTGTTGGCTCACCATATATTTAAAATATCGATATTTTAAGGTCAGGGTTCACTTCACTTACTCTCAGGCTATGGAATGTCCTGGTGGGGTCCTCCAGGGTTCAGTACTAGGACCTCTGATTTTTATTTATGTAAACGATCTTCTAAAGCAGGCATCGTCAGATTTATTGCTTTTCGCTGATGATGTGAAACTCTGGAGAGAAGTACGTAACCAAGAGGGTAAACTGGCACTTTAGGAAGATCTGACTCGACTCTACAGGTGGGCAGATGACAACAGGCTTACCTTTAACACTTCATAGTGAAAAGTAGTCCATCTGATACATTTTTCAGACTACAACTTATGCAACTCCCCTCTAGAGGTATCCCAAGTTGAGAAAGATCTAGGAGTGTTGGTACCCTATGATTTAAAGTGTTACACCAACTGTGACAAAAATGCCCCCCCCGAGCAAACCTTGCACTGGTAACTTTGAAGCTCATTTCCGGCCAGTTCGATGGAGGAACTTTCGACATAATCTCCAACAGTTTTACTTGTCCCCATTTAGAGTACGAAAATAGTATTTCCTCCCACATTCCAAAAGGATAAGGACACTCTGGAACGTATACAACGACGAGCCACGGAACCAGTTCGGGGACTCAAATTAAAGCCTTATGAAGAGCTCCTTCAATCACTGAACCCTCACCCATTGGAGTACAGGCGTCTTAGAGGTGACCTTCTAATGGCCTGCAACATCCTTGACACTTCTGCACATCCCCATATATGCCTACTTGAACTTAGTCCCAACATAAACCATAGGGGTAATGCCCGGAAACTGAAGACGACACAGGGGAACAGGTCATATACACACCTTCTACTCCTTAAGAGTAGTCGAATGCTGGAATTTGCTGCCAGCTGAGCTGGTTCAGGCGACTTCGCAGAAGAACTGACATACTCTTAACGACTAAGGACAGTATCTTACTATGATCATAGAGAAAAGTTGGTAGGTCGATTTACCAACTTTCTTCTTTTTCCTCTTTTATCGTCAGTATACCTAGGTTCCTACCTGAAGGTATCGGTGAACCACTGTTACTAGATACAGAAGCCCGCTAAGCGAAAGATCCTATTCCGTCCAGAACAATTTGAATCATGTTCAATAAGTACACTGCATCACCTGACAGGCACTTAGGAACGCATCACCAACCATATGTCAAATTTACGCCATTATTGTAAGAAACAAGACTAATAGATGATAACAATATATCAGTTATATTATTCGAAGAGTCAGTTTAGGATACATATGCGAAGGTATTATGAAAAATACTAAAAAAACTAAATCCGTGCAGAGCTTCCTTCTATTGTTTGTATACACTACACACAGCTTACTCATGACTTTGGGTGATAGAATTTATAGTCTGTTTATGTGCGGCTAACACATTTGTTTCACAACTATATGTATCAGAAACAATTATTTTAAAATTTTTTCCATATTCAATCGTTTTCAGATCACCAAGTAATAGTGCTATTTTTACTGCATATGTTAATTAGTTGTAATCAACCTGTACTCCTGAAACCGATAAGCCTAAGTTAGCAGAGCCACTATTTACTGGTCAAGGTCACTTTAAAGATAGAATATAGATATACTCACAGAACACTTAGCCCTTAAAAACTGTTAGGCCATGACTTGATAACAGTAAACTGAAAGTCCTTTGAAAAATTTTCCAAATATGTACAACCTGAGTTATGAGGACTCGTTCGAGCATTGTAGCAAACCCTACAAACCAAGCGGCTTCCGATTACAGTTCAGGTCAATATCCAATAAATCACAAATCTGTTCTTCAATGCTTTATCCAATAACGGAAACCAAACTGACATGCTGTCTGCGTGGATTCTTTTTTGTATTTTATTTGATTGCATTTTATGGAATCAGGAATTGCACTAAAGGCCTAATCTGACGTGGTTTACGTTAGAGATTAATTATTTGGGTCTGATTGTTTCCGATTTTTAGTTCAATTTCAGTTGAGGAACAAAAAATGTCCACTGGGTTTCATCAACCTTTTGGACAGGAGTCTCAAAGTTTATTCAACTTTCTTTAGGACCTGTCGGTAGATGGATCTATAACTTCATGTTGATGTAAAACGTTTTACTCGATGACAAGTCGTCTATTGTAAGCCTGCGAACTATTACGCAGTTTCTTCATTGATTCCCTGTTTCAGAACACAAGAAATTTGAAGTCATGTCAGGCGTAGAACTATTATTAAACAATCTATTTACCGTGATCAAATCACATTAAATTGTTTTATATGAGAAGTGGGATAGGCTTCGTTTCTCCAGTCTCTGATCACACCGTAGTTTTAGAACACCGGAAATCAATTTGGTTGCGACTAGCCAAACCGCTTTCGACGAATCTGTCTTTTCTGGACAAGAGCTGATTTTCCGCATTAAAACACTAGACTTAAGGGTGATCGTATATTGTATCCGAAATCCAAAACGATGACAGCTTTTTCAGGGCAGTGCGCAATGGTTTTCAAATATTAGATGACGGAGACCTCTGGGTCACTGCGTGTATGGACCACAGGGAACTCAACATCATTTAGTGTGCAATTACTTGTGCCTTGGCAACTAATATGAAGCATGATGCTATCAGTTTATATTCATCAGTGACTAGTCATCAGTGACTACCAAATTCTAGGACAGTCAGATAAATTTTGCTAGCCGCTTTGAAGCTTCAATGTGTCACCTTCGTTTTCCGCAGTACCTCATATCTTGATATCGTCAGCATATAACAGAATCGATTATAGGAGACTAGTATAGTCGGTTGGATACAAGAGGAATATTATTTTTCTCATGACTGTACCACGTGGGACTCTATCACTGACAGCTTTTCAGCTGGATGACTCGAAGTTAACAAGTTGTTTTGTGGGTTCGTTCAATGTAATTGCCTTACAGTCCTTTGATCTGACCTCAACTGAATGTAACCGCCAAATTCCAGTGTTTTATCTGAACAGAGTGTTCACGAACAAATTTGGTTGATAAGGCCGGACTACATCCTTCTGTGTAGCTTACGAAGCGTTTTTGAGTGACTAATATTCATTTGCATCAAAACTCAAATTCAGTGCCTAACTTATGGAGGAAAACAAATTATATCAAGGGTATAAATAACCTTAAACGACATAGCCTGCGCTATTCAGTCGTACGTTTCTTTGGCCCAAAGTGCATGTCAAAATACACTTGTACGTGCGCAAGGACACAAAATGTGAGAATGAAAAATGACAAACTGGTATACACTCGTACTGTTAAATAAAAAATTTTTTGCTCACTACTTACACAAATATATGAAAAATTTAGGAAAAATAGTATTTGTTTCCAAAATATCGTGCAATATTCTAGGCGCAGTAATCGTTTAAGTGTTCCGGAATCCTTGCTCTCCTTTCAGAGCACGTTGTTTTAGACGGGTTGTCAAATTGCAGAAGAATTTCCTCGTGATTGCTGATTATCGGGTGGGGTATCGTAGTTGTAAGGCCCATGTCGCTGGAGTGTGTCGTGGGAAAACCAACACTAGTAGATTCCACTTCCGAATATGTGGTTTAGCGACGGTCAATTCTGGTCAATCTTAGCATTTCGGAAGTTAGGCGGTGCACTCTCGAGGATCCAGGTCGTTCTGTAGTTGTGATGTTGTGTGCAGCATTGCTGGTTGCGCACGATGTTTTTGGTTGCGTTTCGTACAGTTCGGGGTACTTGTTGAATATTCGCTGATAGTATGGATCGATCATTTGCTTAACAGTGACTGGAGATAATCCACGACCAGAAAGGAAATTCACATAAACGTATAATCTGGCATAGCCATCTACTAGTCTTCGTTCGCACGTGTCAATGAGTAGATAATCGTGGGGCAAGTCTATACTAATGACTGGCATAAAGACATTTGCAACAACGAAAATCCAATGCATAGGTTTGCATAAACCTGCCTTAATATAAACATATCGCTTACCGTATGTTGCGATTGTCTATCCACTTTTCGCTTGTGGGTTAAGATTAGGTTTTGAAGATGGTCGCTGGGATTCGAGGGAAGAAAGTTTACTTCTGCGTCCGTTTCATTATCATAGCAGAGATGCACAGCAGACGGCAGTGTCTTCCGGCAACGTTTGCTGTCAACGCGTGCCGATGTAGAGGTTTCTCAAAGGCTGTTTAAGTCCCGGGAAGCTGCAGGGATTTCT